AGATGTGCTATATATAAATAAAAACAAGGTGCATATTATAAAAACTGACAATACAGGAAGCATTGAATGAGGATAAAATCTACAATATACAGATGTAACTAAGTATTGACAGAATATTAACGGAGTATTAACAGAGTGCAAGTGCAGATTGTATGTACAAACAGTGATATTATAAGAAGAAATAAAAAATGGTTATATGTATAGTAACACGATTGTGCAAATAACATATCCATTAAGTACGTTTAATCAGTGCAGTTGAGTNCTTGTGGCACACCGGTGTTCAAGGTAGAAGTGGAGGAGGAGAGGTTGTCTAACTTCACAGACTGGGGTGTGTTAGTCAGAAAATCCAGCATCCTGTTACAGAGCGATGTATTGATACCAAGCTGGCGAAGCTTGGAGATCAGCTTGGAGGGGATCACAGTGTTGAATGCTGAACTGAAACCTATGAACAGCATTCCGAGGTAAGATTTGGGGCTATCCAGGTGAGTCAGGGCAGAGTGGAGTGCCGTGGAGATGGCGTCCTCTGTTGACCTGTTGCAGCGGTAGGCAAACTGGTATGGATCCAGTGTAGCAGGCAGACAGGATTTGAGGTACGAGATAACCAGTCTCTCGATGATGGGGGTGAGTGCAACGGGACGGAAGTCATTAAGAGCCGTAGCGGTTGAGAGCTTCGGCACTGGCACGATGATGGCGGTCTTGAAGATGGTGGGAACAACTGCTTGGGCCAGGGACAGGTTGAAAATGTCCGCAAAGACCCCTGCCAGCTGCTCTGCACAGGCTCTGAGCACGCGTCCAGGAATTCCATCAGGGCCAGCTGCCTTCCGAGCGTTCACCTTACTCAGGGTGGAGTAGACATCAGAGATGGAGAGTGTGAGTGGCGGTTCATCTGGTGGTAGGTCAAATTTGATGGGGACCTCCTTGTTCTCCCGGTCGAAACGAGCGTAGAAGTGGTTGAGCTCTTCGGGGAAGGAGGCGGAGCTTGTTGGGGGCATGTTGCCTATTGATTTATAGTTGGTGAGCGTTTGTATGCCTTGCCACATACGCCGGGGGTCTGAGGAGCTGAAGTGCTCTTCGATCCTCTGTTCAATTCCCCTCCTCAGGTTGGCCCTGGCTGAGCTGTAGCCTCAGTTTAGCATTATTATTATAATAATTATTGACACTCTCATCCAGTTATTATTTATCACTTTTTGTGGTGACAACATGAACACTGTTCCTGTAGGTGCAGTTTTCCAGTGGAGCGGACAGTGTGGTGCAGTACATTTACTACCAGCCCATCATCCACCGCTGGAGAGAGACCGACTTCTTCCCCTGCTCCGTCCCATGTGGTGGAGGTGAGGGAAGAAAATGCAAAAAAGGATAGGTCCGAAAAGTCTCCTGTGGCAGATAAAAGACTAAATCATTGACATTTCTTGTTCCTCAGGCTACCAGCTGACCTCAGCAGAGTGCTTTGACCTCCGGAGCGGCCGGGTGGTGGTGGATCAGTATTGCCATTATTACCCCGAGAACATCAAACCCAAACCCAAACTCCAGGAGTGCAACATGGAGCTCTGCCTGGCCAGGTTAGACTGCAGAGAACACTCTTTAAAACGTGTCAACAGTAGATTGTATGATTCTAAATCTTCATTTTCTTTTACTGATTTTGCCTTTTAGCGACGGCTACAAGCAAATTATGCCATATGACCTCTACCACCCCCTGCCTCGGTATGTATTCTCAGCTGTGAGGTACCATAAAGTGCTGCAGGGAATGAGCATTTTTAAACTAGCGGAATTAACCTAGTATTCTCTGGAGTCTCATTCAGACACTTGTTAGCAACAGCCTTTTTCAAAACACGGAAGAGCTTCAAAATTAATAAGTGGAGTATTTACTGTTATATTTTACGTAATAGAAAAAAACATCAAAAAACCTTATTTCAGTCTAACCTGAAAACCATTCTGAGACAAGATTACCAGAAGTGCATTAATTACTCTTTTTTGGGGGGTTTATGACTCATTCCTGCAGTACTCTATAGTGACCCAACAACACACATTCTGACATTTACCAACCTATCTTTGATTTGTGGTGTCAGATGGGAGAGCAGTCCCTGGACGGCCTGCTCCACCTCCTGCGGCGGAGGCATCCAGAGTCGCTCGGTGTCCTGTGTGGAGGAGGACATGCAGGGCACCATCACCACCACTGAGGAGTGGAAGTGTCTCTACTCCTCCAAGACGGCCATCCTGCAGCCCTGCAACACCTACGACTGCCCCACCTGGCTGGCACAGGAGTGGTCACCTGTAGGTCCATTTTTAGTCTGTTTGAACACTCATTGTTAATGATTATCACAGGTACTTATTGATTGGATATGTCTTGTAGGAAAAAAGCTTGTAACAAGTAGTTAAAATGTTATATTTTTTAGAGTGGCTATTTATTTGATTAGCTTTTCCTTTGTGAGTTGCTGTAAAGCCTCACAAACTAAAAGAAATTCAATGAAAAAATCATGTTCATATGTTTTTTAAGTCTGAAAAAAAAACATGATTAATTGACTTAATATAAATATACTGAGAGGACAGCCTGAGCTGTGACTTCTTCAGACATCCAGCAGAATTTTGATGGGAACACTTGAGAATGCTTGGATTTAAACACTAGCTCCCTGTGTGAATCAGAGTACTGCTCACCTCAATGTAAGCATCCTTCACCACATCTAACTTTAAGGCTTTTCCAAACCAACAGCACATATTCTTAAACTCTTCCTCTGCCAAACACATCCAGTATATCTGGGTGCTGCATCTTGATCATCTAACGCTCTTGTTAGCTTACTGATGTGGCAGAGTTGCAGTTACATTAACCATAAACATCCCATACATCATCCTCGTGGGGTTTTTTCAGCCTCACCAGTCGTACGTGCACAAGCAGAGGCCCAGGGAGTCAGATTTGTGGCCCGGGACGCTGTTTACCTAGCACATTCTTCCCTGTGAACTTGCCTTTAAATGCTTGTTTTGGCAGCGGATGCACAAAGTTCACTCCTGAGCAGAACGCTGCAGGGATTTTGGAAGGTCTCTTTGCTTTTCCTCGAGTCGAGGGCTTCTGAGACTTAACACGTTAACCAATGTGTGTGTGATAATCGCCGTGAGTTAATCCACGATTCTCCCACCGTGTCACCCTGTCACCACCAGTGCACGGTCACCTGTGGGCAGGGTCTGCGCTACAGGGTGGTGTTGTGCATCGATCACAGAGGACTCCATGCTGGAGGCTGTAACCCCACCACCAAGCCCCACATCAAGGAGGAGTGCCTGGTGACGGTGCCCTGCTATAAATCCATCGGTAGGTCTGTTTCGTCATAATAATGATACATGTCGTTTATATAGCTCTTTCCTGGTGCTCAAAGACTCTTTCTATGAGTTCTAGAGGACTTCAGAATTTTTTCAGGTACTCCCTCTCTATAAACATGAACAATTTGCACATGCTGTACTCTTATTGGTAAACACTACCTCAAAGGATGTATTTTACTTTTAATTTAAAGCTACTGTACATAAATGTTGAATGTATATCGTCTATGTTCATATGTTTAGTAGATTGGTACATAAGAGATTATTCTAATTTATTCTTTATATTTTGTAGTGTTTAGATACTCTTCTGAATATATGTATTTTCTGAGAATATGTACAGTATATATAATTATTCTATTTTCATTTTATTCTATTTTTCCGAAATCTGTAATTCTTTTACATTGACTGTCAAAATGCTGCAGTGACAAAACAGTTTCCCAACTTGGGATAAATATAGTATGTATCTATCTTTCTAAACATTATAACCTGCACAAAGCATTGTGTAAATTGCAAACTATAATTAAACATTGCTATTGGCAGATATTGAAGCCCATGTTTATAATGCATTATAGACATAGGCGAAAGATGTAATAGATTGGGTTCTTCTGTCATGTTTTAACTCTTAATGTTGACCTTATTTCTAAATTAAAATCTCTCTCATCCTTTGTCTTTCCTGTGATAATTTCTGTAGATACTCTCCCAGTGGAGGCCAAACCTGTGTGGCAGAAGCAGGCCATCGAGCTGGACGAGGAGGTCAGCGTCGGTGAGGAACCAACGTGAGTCACACACACACACACACACACACACACACACACACACACACACACACACACACACACACACACACACACACATGCATGCGCAGGAAATTATTAATGGGAATTCATGTCGGAATGTCTCTGACTGATGCTTCATTATATTGGAAAACATATGTATTTGTACTTATATTTACTAATACAAAAAATGCCATGCCATATTAATTTTTTAAAAATATTTCTACTACTTTTTGGGGCATTTTTATGTTCTGTATTTATGTTTTTTCCTTTCGCACTACCTAAAATGTTTTGCACACAAAAAGGAGATTAATGGGAATTCATTTTGAAATGTCTGTGACTGATGCTTTATTATATTGGAAACAATTCTGATAATTTATTAAGATGAAACAAATAAAGCCTCTCAAGCTTCGTAGCCCAGAAAAATAATCCCTGTCACTCTGCACGGACAGAAGAAGAAGTCAGATCGCAGAAACAACAACAGCTTTCACAGCTCAGAGCGCAGCTTCTACCTGGAGGTGAAATTGAAGCTGACAGGGCTGGCACTGCCATGAAACCCCAACAGTATCGTGGTTGTGTTCATGTCAAAGGCCATTTGCAAGAACTTGGAGTCAGAGAGTGGCTGTAGCTCTGAATATTTTCCTGGCGCTTTTCAAAATAGGCCTCTTTGTAAACCTGCCAAATGTTTGTCAGACACGGTGGCAGGAGAGTTATGTCAAGAGGAGTAAATAAGAAGTTTAACGCACCAGTGAAGGTGTTTATCGTTAGGTTTAAGTAATGAATTTGCTGTATGAGGTTATTTAGGGTTAAAGGGGGAGCTGAAGGTGGAAGACAAAACATATTTTTTGGAAAGCAGCTGACTACCAGCATTACCTCAGCAAGCTTCCAGATGTCCCGCATATCAGTGGACTCACAAAGGCCTCTGAAGATGGACAATGTTTGGACTGTACCCAGTGTCTTGCATGACTTGTATTAGCGACCATGTTAGCCAGTTCAAAACATCTGTTACTGTGACTTATCTTTGGAACGCGAGAGTGTAAGGGAGGGACGCCAAGACATATGAATTTGCTCTATTGCAACAAAAAAAACCTTCCCTCGCAAAGCACATAAATATCTGTGTATAATACGCAGTCATGCACAAGCCAACAACAATATCTGCCTACCATATGGGGCCAGGTTACGGATGTGAGCGGAAAGAGAAGGACATTCCTGAGTTAGACTTATTGCACCTCCACTGCCAGGCCGTACGTCGGCCCCGAGCCACCGCTGTGCAACGGCTTGAAAAATGAAACCCATATATGTTCCACAGCGAGGCCAGAACTGATTATTTTAACCGCTATGAGTAAATAAAATATCTCCATTGATTGAATTCATTTGATACGACCAACGAGGGGCTTTGGCAGATATCACAAAAACCCTTTTTCTTTTGTCCGTGAGTGAAATCACGATTGTTTTCGAAGCCGCAGATGTACTTTAACAACGCATGAAGATACACTTTTCCGTGGGGTTCGCATGTTGACTTTGTTGCTTTCTTTCCAAGCTCTAACTGCTGGTGATTCATTTGTTTGTCCAAAACACTACGGGTCCTGGAGCACTCGTAAAGAGCCCAGTTTGCTGCAATAATGAGCTCTTTATTGAGGCATCTTATGAAACAGCAGGGTGTCTGTGTGTTGTGGTCACACTGGTTAACTCAGGAGGAATGCTGCACATCGGTTGGTCCCTTTATGACATCCATGTATCTCATAATGCCTGCTGCAGGAAGGTACTTGGGTAGGTTATAAACCCAGAGAGTGATTTACCCGAAACAACTTGGCTGACTGGGGTTGAACAATATTCCTATCCAATTATATTCCAATTTTCAATAAAATGACCAAAAACTATTTAAAAAAGGAATTAGGGCTGAAAGGTTAATCGTTAAAAGATTGCAATCTTGATTCACTCACGCGACCCATTTCTGAACCATTCTACCATATTTGCTTTGGAGAGTTTGATTTTTAGAATGAATGCTCATAATTTGTCCCTGCTGCGGCACGCACACATGCACTTCAAGGCCGACAGCCTCTTCCTGAACCTAGAGCTTCACTTACACTCAACCAATCAGATCAGCCACAAACTGTCCGTGAGGTCAGGCTGGGTCCGGAAGCTTTTCCTTAAGTGAACCAAGCTCCAACATCACTATAAAAGTATGTCAGCTTTAATAAGTCTTGTTAAAAAAAAAAAGTCCTTCTATATTTGTGGGGACAACCACAGTACACTACTTACAAAAGAACTGTCATTTATTATCGAGAACTGTACCAAGAAAAACTCAACACTGAAGACTGAATGATTATCACAAAGTGAGCTGAAGAGCGAAGTTAGTCTTCTGATGTTGTGGTGGGAATTACAAAGCACTCTGCTGATATTACTGAGGTTTTGTAAAGTATATCTGCCAAAATAAACAGTGGTGAGCTCCGCCCTGCAGAGGACAGCTGCTGCATGTTGTAAATATTTGGGCTAACGATGGAGTATAAAAGATGGATGGATATAAGACTATAACGCAGTTGCGCAATGGAAAAGGTAGAAAAGGTCTGATGAAATGCCTTTTATCCCCTCATGTCCAGCTGGGTTTATGTGGACAAAGAGTTTTCAGGTACCCCACATTGTCTGTTGTTGTACTTTGTGAATAGTGTCTGTCTGTCTGTAATGTTCTGGAAAACACAGCAGCAAATACATTTTGCCTTCCTTGACCCTTAAAATAACTACGCTTTTCATTCAAGACCAAGAGTAAACTTTCAAATGATAGTATCTCTGTTGTGAGGCGCTGTCAGTTTTTGGGGCTCTCGCTCTCACCCAACCTTGACGGGCCTTCAGGCATTCGTGAAGTCTTTTCCCTCTGTGATCCATACTTTAAGACGAGGAAGGATGCACATGAAAGCCGTTTATCGTAGAATAACTGATCCTAATGCTTCACAGCTGTTCAATTAACCACAGCAGGACTGGATTTCATAAATACTCAATGGATTTATGAATTTAGAAGCAAAGCTGTACACAGGGGGAATGCACTAAAGTAATTTAAAGTCTGCTGGTTTGTCCTAGTCAAACCAAAAATGTTACTGCCTTTCCAAGTCTGTTAGCATATGTGTGTGAAGTGTACTACAGCAAGTGTTTATGTATTTATGTGTGCGATTAATCTTCCCGTATTCTCTCAAGGTTCATCCCCGCTCCCTGGCAGTCCTGCAGCAGGACGTGTGGCGCCGGGACTCAGCGGCGGACCGTGAGGTGCCAGGTGTTGCTGTCCTTTTCCCAGTCTGTGGCCGACCTGCCCGACGACGAGTGTGAGGGGGTGAAGCCCGTGACCAGCCAGCCCTGCTACCGTACGCCCTGCTCCGGTGTTTCGGACAGAGGGAAAGAAAGTGAAAAGGAGGAGGAGGAGGAGGAGACACCCGAGAGAGAGGAGCTGCATGACTGGGAGTATGAGGGATTTACCGAGTGCTCAGAGAGCTGTGGGGGAGGTACGGATCATTACTGAACGCTTTAATATGAAAAAGCAAAGCAGCACAATGAGAAAGAGCAGCAATGCAAAGTTGAAGGGGGCAGAGCAGTGATTTGAGCTAACATGCTGACCATGACAATGATGAGAATGTATAATGTTCAGCGTCTTAGCATGCTCACATATGCTAATTGCACTAAATGTATAACTGATGGAAGTAATGATGGGAATAACATGAATTTTGCCAGAATTTAGTTAGGAACCAAACCAAAATGTTGACCCTATAATGGGACTAGATGGAAAATATCAGTTGAATCAGCAAAATCAAATAACATCCTGATAAAGTTACCCTTCTCAATTAGTAGTGCATTTTTCCAGTTGCTGTAAAACGATGTATCTCAGCAGTGAGCGGTGACCTATATCAGTTGATGGCAGTATAGGCTTTAAAATGATAATGGAAGTAGTTCTAAAGGTCATTCCTCATAGACTCTCTCAGTGGCAGTGAATGCAGCACCAGACAGAAACAGCGTTCCCAAACATCCTGCCAACATTCATTCAGGCCCGCTTTAATCTCCCCACAACTTTAATTTCTGCAAATGTGTGCAGGCTTTTGTCCATGTGTGCTCACCCTAACCCAACAAACTCACATTCAGGGATGATTACAGAGGGGTATCAGGTGTCATACACACATGAGGGCTCCTGTGGACCATCACACCACTGATGCGTTTGAAGTGCCCGTCTCGCTGGTACTGTCCCCAACATTTGAAACAGATTTATGTAGCGTTGCTCTTAACGTGACATGACATCACACCCTTAGAGTTTATCCACAGTTTCAGGTCCTGAAATGAAGCAGGCCGCTGCACCGTTTCGATGTTTATTGCAATTTGACCACCAGATAACTTCGCACAACTGATTCATCGGATTCACTGCAGATTTAAGCAAACATAAACAGTTTTTGAATTGCAAGAAACTAGTCAAACGGATGCAGAAAAAGTAAATGCTTTGTCAGATCTGTTCTAAAAACAACAAGCAAACACGGTTTCTAAGGCTTGTTTACTGGAACGAGGATTACACTCAATACAGAAGCAACATTATTATTTATACACGTAAATATCTTGACATTGTGTTACTTTAAAGTGTAAAAAATCTAATTTTCTTTCAAAAAATTACTTTGGCTTCCATTTCTGGTTAAACAACACCCCTATTTCAGGAAAATCTCAACTCTGATAGGCTTTTAATGTTATAACGCCCAGCTAATTCCTTGCATGTTCCATGTGCAAAGAAAGTGCCTTCCATTTAGGTACCATAATATTTGGGTTGCTTTAATGCTTCATGCGTGTGAAGGTGATAATATTTGAGAGATGTCTAAGAAGAACAAAATGAGGTTGCATTGTTGTCATTCATTCCAAACAGATACGGTACAGGGAGATAATTCATTTCTAAAAACGTGACCCTTCCTTATAGCTCATGGTTATTTGGACATCCTTGTTATTGTTTCCTGATCTCAGGTGTCCAGGAGGCTGTGGTCATCTGCCTGAACAAGCAGACGAGGGAGGCAGCCGAGCAGAGTCTGTGTGTGAGCACCCGACGCCCCCCCCAGCTGCTGCAGGACTGCAAAACCCAGCCCTGCCCACCCAGGTACACTAAATCACAGACATACATCATTATCATTGGTTTAAAATGGTTTGCGCACGAACATAAAAACACACATGATTGATGGATGCAGTAAACCCGAGGAGGAAATGTGTTTTTTCTTTTTTAAATAAAAAGGTTTTGGCTGCATTCAAGAAGAAAATATTAATTAAAAGCAGGACTCAGATCTGGCTCTGCTCTTTATTAGTTTGCCAAGACTGTAACCCAGAAAAAAATGCAATATAGAGAGCTGGGACATTCATGCAGCGTTTCCCAGGGCCCTGATCCTTTCCTGGGTCCTGCACCTGGAACTGCTCAGCTTTCAGACGATCAAAGAACTCGCATCACACCAGCTGGATCAATTAATACCGGCTAATCAGTGGTTGTGTACAAAATAGATTAAAATCCTTCTAATCCACTATGTTATGCCTTTCACTTCAAACCACATGGGCCAATCAAATGATCATTTAGGCCACTTGGGTCCAAGTGATACTGAAGCAGAGTGACAGAGATCGATGGCTGTATCTTTGATAACAGGAAATGAATCCAGCGGGACGGCTTGTGAGAATAAAGCACAAAATAGGGGCCATGTGTCGGTGGTGATATCTACTAGGCTGACATGTGAAATTGTGCTTGGAATGAAACCTTTTTTCAATTGGTTTGTCAGCACAGAAATTCAGGAGACCTGTGCTGGAAAAGTTAGCAATACCTTTTTGAAGACTACTATAAAAACGCTTTAATTTGGCTTTTTATACTACTATTAATGTCCTTTTAGTGATGACGCATCATAGGACAGGTTAATAATGTTGACATTTGTCCTGTCAAGAGGCTTTCAGAAAGCGCATCAGGCCGTCATTCAAAATCAAAAATGTGCATCTGCCATTACATTATGACATATTTTGTATCATAATGCATGAAAAGTCCTTATGAATTATGCAAAATTAAAAAAAGGTTCATCCTTTGTGAAGAATTAATGTAAACAATAATGTATTTTTGCTGATTTTGAGGGAGTAAAGCAGCCAAAACAGCAGTACAATCCTTTTCTGGGGTTATGTTTTTTCAGGGTTTTTTGGGCATCAATTTGGGATACAGTGGATGAACAACGAGAACCCAAAATGAAATACCTGAATGGCTAAACAGCATAATAGCATGATGTCTAATATTACGAAGCGGTGAGTGGATTTTGCGGTAGGCCACACGTTTAAAATTAACACAGTGCGCAGTGTCGGTGTTCCACCACTCTAGTCAGAAAAGCCAGAGGCTTGCAGCCTGCCCCGGCCTGTTTTTCCAGGCCTTGTGTCTTGTTTTCAGGCACAACAAACGCTGTATTGGACTTGTTTCCTTTGGCTCTTTACTCCCTCCCTGAGGCCTCCTCACCCTCGCATATTAAGCTACACTCTTTGGATACTGTTGCCTCTGAAGGGAAACAGCCATAGGATTTGGCTTTGAGTATAGTACCGATCCTGAACAAAAACCCTCATTCCCAATTCTCCACAGTCCCTGGACCCTTGAGTAAACATGAATAGTTTTGAAAATTCACCTAATCTGTCAAGCAAGAAGTAAAACCGCTGCCATCTCGGTCAAAGCCGAAGCTTTACGATGCCTTTTTAAAGGCATAGCGACAAAGACACATGCCACATCGTTTTCAAGATTAGAATTAATGTGCTCAGAAAACTTTGAAGCTGGATCCTTCTTTCGAAAGAAAATGTGTTCTGCATCAAAAAGAATATTGGTACATCGGGGTCGTTGGGAAAACACAAGTGAAGACATTTTGCCTTGGGATTTCTCAAATATCCTTAAATTCAGTGGGAGATTTGATGTTTCTCTGACAGTATCTGGCCCCATGAATCACTCTTATTTCGTTTTCACTTGAATTCACTTTCATGAATTTGCACATTCATAAGACTGCGAGAGCGTCCTCTGAGGGGATCAAGTAAAAACATCAAGATACTCCTGTATAGACTGGAGAATGTGGCTATCTACATATGCATTTACCCTAAAGATAAAGCATGTTGATGAATCTGGAACCACAGAGGTTATGATGCAAAATCCACTTCCTGTCCTTTATACATAAACATGTGTCCCCTCTGTGTAAAGAGACTCTGGAAGTTTCAGGAAAAAAGATTCTCTCTCTTTTTGTCCTGATCCATTTATATAAAAACCTGTCTGAAAATGAGCTGATCAGATTTTGGCCACATTGTGATGTCATAATGTTTTTTTGGCTTGTGTAACCATTAGCCAATCACCAACCAAGGTAACCCCCCCCCCCCACCTTATCACCTGAATCTCCTCCTAGAGCACCATTGTGTTCTTTTTAACCAAATGTCTCTCAGAGGGCCGTGGGGAGTGGCTCCTTATTTTCATCTAAAGTAACAGACAGAGAATCAACACTTTGGAAACAGGGCTGAAAAAGAGGGGATTATGGGTAATGCTGCAATGATCTGTTGGGTATTTCGAGCCAAACACTTCAGAGACATGTTGTGTATATAACTGAGAACTATAATCTATTGATGAAAAAAGAGTATAATAGGGACCTTTAAAAGTTAATAAACTGTGTGTTGTTAAAACAGGAAGGTTACATTTGGTTGTCAACATTTCGCAGTTTGATGCTGAGCGTTGTGTTGCAGATGGAAAACTGGGGAGTGGAGCTCCTGCTCTGCTAGCTGTGGGGTTGGTCTGATGACCCGCACTGTGGCCTGCTCTCACCGACCCTCCCGGGACAGCAACCGGACCGAGGTTTTGCGGGATGAAGACTGTCAGAGCCCCAAACCCATCCCGGTCCAAGCCTGCAACCGCTTCGATTGTCCTCCCATGTGGGACACTCGAGCCTGGGGACAGGTAAAGGATCTCACTTGTGTTTCCATCCCTATTGTAAATACTGCAGTTATTTGTCCGAGGCCTGAAATACAATTGAAACCTTTCCTAGTGAAGACAAAAGTCAGACGTAAGTGGGTGTTAGTGGGGTTTTGTCGAGTTGGAAAGGGGCTTTAGGAAGTTCACCAACATAAATGCCTGGCACAGCAATTAGACTGAAGCGTCTAGCCCTTATTGCTAATGTAATCCCCGGCACATCTGTGTTTTCGTAGTGCTCCCAGAGCTGTGGAGGTGGATTTCAAAGGAGGCAGGTCCTGTGCAAACAGCGGCTGGCAGATGGCAGCATCCTCGAGCTGCCTGACACCTTCTGTCCGTCCGAAAGCCCCCCGAGCCAGCAGATCTGCGCCAAGCTGGAGTGCCCAGCTCGATGGGTCACCACTGACTGGTCCCAGGTAGACCCTCCTTTTCTAAATATACCATTTGCAAACTCAACAGGATCTGCTTCATGTCTTACAACATCTTTTTTTACCCGTCCAGTGTTCTGTGACCTGTGGAAACGGCATTCAGAGACTAGAGGCAGTGTGCAGAAGACAAGGGGAGGATCGGAGACATCAGAACTTAGACCCCGAGAACTGCTCCCTGCTAGCCCGGCCCACCAAAATCAGACCATGCTCCCTCAGGCTCTGTGAGAGTAAGACACCCTCTGTTTGGATCTGTTTAGTCAAAATGTGCTGCTTATGCTGTGTTCACATCAGGGCTGTGCTAACATAGTGCATCAACACTGTAAATGATGTTATCTAAATGAGGCATAAATATGCTTATACACTCAGATATCTACATACTTAGTAACTTTGTGAACATTTGCTGCAAAGTCTTTACATTGACTTGCATCATAAAAATGTTTTGGTGTACAATTTGATGGAAAGATGTGTAAGAAAAACGTTTTTTTAACATCAGCAGTTGCTTACAGAATTACACTAGTTTTACTTCAGAACTTCACCATCATTTTCATATCACATAAACATGATATTTGATTTACTGCACCTCTCAACATCAATGAATTGAGCGTAACATAAGCCCACCAATAACCAGTGGGAAAAAAAGGTGTGACTGTGACTTGTTAATGGACATTCTCATAAAATCGTATCAAAATCAAATCATTAATCTGTTCTTTAATTTCCTCACAGACCCTCTCAAACCCAATCCCATCATACTGGGCCAGAAGAAGGTGTATATCCAGTGGAGGAAGGGGAAAAAGTTACAGCTGGTGGTGGGGGGCTATGCCTACTTGCTCCCCTGGACGACTGTAGTCCTTCGCTGTCCAACTAGAAACTTCCGCAAAGGCCAAATCCGATGGTTGAAGGAGGGAAAGCCCTTAATCGTCCCTCCGCATCTCTCCATGACATCACTGGGATACGTGAAGTTTCAGCAGCTTCGTGCATCGGACGCCGGGATTTACACATGTGTCGCAGGTCAGGCACGGGAACATTTTGTACTTCAGATCATCGGCAGCAAACACAAGCTCTCTGCTCCAGCGTCATGGCTCCTTGGGGGTGAACAACAAAAAGTTAGGGAAACAGACGCAGCCATGAGAGAAAGATTTCAGGAGCTACCCGTCCCCCTGAACCGATACGACAACATCGTGGAGCAATTGCTTGAACTCAAAGGCTCTCTCCAAGATGAGAAAGACCCTGCTGATAAAACACAGAAGAACCGCTCCACCCTGGAGGACGAGAGAGCCAATTCAGAACTTTCTAGCCTGCTCGTACTCATAGCAGACACCCAGAGGCTAGATGAGATCATGCACGACCTCTCTGAAGGAGGACAAAGGGAGGGGCAACTCATCGCACAGTTGCTCAGTGAGCTCGCTATCACACAAGGCGAAAACAATGAGTCTACTCTCCACCCCCCGGAAAAAGCAGAATCCTCCACACAGGTGCCCCCGCTTAATAAACCCAGCATCAAAGCTCCGCGGCTAAGAAGCCCGGTGATAATCCAGCGGCCCCGGAAGGTGGGGGTGGTCCCGTCCTCTGAAATGACTGTACATGTGGGGGTCCCGGCTCTGCTGCAGAAACCCATTGCTAGTTTGGAGCTGAGGTGTGAGGCCCTGGGGAACCCCGAACCGTCCCTGACATGGACAAAGAACGGCAAAGAGCTGCAATACAACAGCAGGTAAGAACTGCCCTTTAAAGGTCACCTATTATGCAAAATCCAATTTTTCATGTCTTTTATACATAAATAGAATATTTATTCATAGATTCTGAAAGTTTCAGGAAAAAAGATTCCCTCTCTTTTTGTCCTGATCCATTTATATAAAAACTGTCTGAAAATTCAGGGGATCAGATTTTGGTCACTTTATGACGATTTTTTTTGGTCATGATCTGTTTGGTATTTCTAGCCAAACACTTCAGAGACATGTTTTGTATATATCTGAGAGCTATAATCTATTGAGGAAAAACAGTATAATAGGGGACCTTTAATGTGGGCTTTCAGGCATCAATAAATCTGCAGGTGTTGTTGTTAAAAGTAGCCGATTTAGTGGTTGTGTTGTCTTCGTGTTGGCAGAGTAGGCCTGTTGTCCTCCGGCTCACTGAGGATCCAGTCTCCAAGCAAGCCGGATGAGGGTCTGTACACCTGCACGGCCAACAATCGTCTTGGAACAACATCTCTTTCATCTTGGCTGCAGATTACAGGTACACCGAATCTCACTTCTAGCATGTTGGAATAAACTGCCTGCTAATTCACTTCTGGAGGGGTCTTATTAAATAATAGTGAAGGAAAATGTCTTAGAAAATTGCAACAAACACCTTAAATTAATTTCTAAGGAAAGAAAAAAGAAAACGAAGCAGGTTACCACTTTAAATATGTTGTATATACACAGTTAAGGTTAGAGACCAACTAAGGACTTTTTAAAGTGTTTTGCATACCCCGGTGTCTCAGTGGTTGGGAATGTCCAAAGCGTGACACAGCGCGTTCATATCTGAGCGGCGCTGTCATTCGTCTCATCGGAGCCTGATTATTGGCGACCTTGCTGCATTTTGATCAAAGCCGCCGGCCGCAGGGTCTTCCTGATGCTCCGGCACTCTTTTTCCCCATACGACAACAATTAGAGGTTGCAGGCAATGTTTCAAAGAAGATTAATGGGTGCACCCCACTCGCTTGACCTCAAAGGAAGATAAAGGGGCTTAAAGGGGCTGAAAAGTGTCCAAGCTGCGCTTTAAATCAAAAAGTGGTTATACCCATTGTATTTATCTTGATGCCTATATAAAAAACATCTCAGGACTTTTGGTGTCAAGATCATCTTCAGATACACCCAGTTTTATATGGTGTCTTTTTTAAATTTCTGCTGAATCCAAGAGCACAATAATATCGTTTTAAATGTCTGTTTTCAGGTGGCAAAGGAAGAAGCTGCGTCCAAAGTAATGGCATTGGAGCAAATGGGCCTATCTGCTCTGAGAGGAGCAACAGCAGCCAGTCTGCAGAGCTGTGCCACGGACAGGCCTGCCCCCTCAGGTACACTGCTGCTACTACATGCTGGTCACATTCCTGATTCCCCATTTAATTGCATTTCAAACTTACTACATGTACCTAGAGAACTGGCAAGGAAAATACTCAGATGTTTCCAGGATAGCACAATGCTAAAGACTTAAAGGTATATGGAGTTGTATGAAGTACTTCTCCATGGTCAGTGTGTGACTGGCCCTTTGGGGGGAAAAAAGACAGGAGTGCCATCGAGAAAAAAAGCAATGTACTGCTGTGTATGGGGGAAGAAGCAAATTGTAAGACTGTCTGATGACAAATTAAAGCAGTAACTATATTCTAAATATAGCGTACAGTTAAAACTGATATTTATTATTTAGGTGTGTAAAATGCATTTTTCTGCTGCCTCTTTCCACAGCAACACATTACTTCCAGCTGGTACTCTTGTGGAGTTTTCCGCTATTTATGCACTGACTAACTATAGATAAGTAGCCTACATGTCTTTACTCTAAAGGAACAACACATGTCCTTTTAGGTGATGAGTGCCTCTGTTGGCCAAAACAAAGATTGATACTTTATTATTATAACTGTATAAACACTGTAAGTCATTGTCCACTTTTCCTCTGTGGTTGCTTTAGGTGGCGGATGGACCCCTGGTCACCGTGCTCAGCCAGTTGTGGAGGGGGGTCCCAGAGCAGGAGTGTCCGCTGTCTGAAGGGTCCTGAGGGCCGATCCAGAGAGGTGGAGAGCCAGCAGTGCCTGGGCAGCGGGAGGAGACCCTCCGACAGCCGGCCCTGCAACCAGCTGCCCTGCGCCCGGTGGGCCTCCACCAGCTGGGGGGCCGTGAGTCTGCTTCCATTCACTACACACACTTCTGTACATAGAGGCTGTTTTCATTTAGTTCGAAACAGGTTCAACGTTAGACATTGTGTGTCAGTTCTTAGTCTGTTCATTTGGGGGAGTTTTTCATATGCCAAGTACTTTTTGGTGTACAGGGAAGCCCCCTGCTAATCATTCTTTAAATAGTAAACAAAGATGTGTTGCAGTAAGGGAAGTCACCCTTTGTATCTTTTTTAATGACATGCACATCATGTTTAAAAATACATGTCTTTCTGGCTGGAACAAGGAAGTATGTCATCTAAAAAGCTGAACTCGCTTGTAATTCTAATGAAATCTTCCCTTTTTAGTGTCATGGTCAATGTGTGGGTCCCAGTTTGGCTACACAGCACCGCCATGTTTACTGCCAGGACATAAACACCACCAAAGTCCCCTACAGGATGTGCAGTGGACTCCAGAGGTAAATATGGGTATTATAATATAAATGTATATCAGGAGTGGAAATATGATGTTGATGTGGAATAGATAATATCACATTTTCAGTGTAAAAGCCCCTCCCCATGTATTTCTTCGAGCTTCCTGACCATTTCCTGTTATGCATTTGTATTTTTAGACCCGTCTCCCTGAAGAATTGCTCCACAGAGGCGTGTCTACTCCACTGGCGCGTGGGGCCCTGGACGCCGTGCACCGCCACCTGTGGACGGCACGGCTTCCAGTCCCGTCAGGTGACCTGTGCGCACCGCCGGACAGGGAAGGCCACGCGGGAACATCACTGCATGTGGAGGCCCCGCCCCCCCAGCTGGCAGCGATGCAACATCCTGTCTTGCGGCAGAGGTGAGGGGAAGCTGCACGATGGAAAAATGTAGAACTGGTTGATTTAAAAATTATTTGATATACCATGTTGAATATGGTATTACTGCATTTGTTGATGGTGGAAATTCCTCGGGAGTCATATAAAATGTAAGGGGAATAAAAACAAGATTATGCTCAAATAGCATTACAAATATACACGTTATACACCCTTCAGTTATTGTACTGAATAATCACACATAGGGTATTTAGCATTGTACTACAAACAAAAAAATTTGCATTATTACAAAAGCAGATAGTGCAGATAAAGTGAGAAGAATAGACTTGCATATCAAAAATAAATCATAAATAAAAAATATATATCTATTGATTATTAAACCCATTTTCTTTGTTTTTTAAGATGTTGTAATTTATGTTTCTATTCTTGTTTACTTATTTTACCGATTTACTTGTATTGTTGTTTTTTAAGGCAATGACTAGTATTGGTCCTCTTATACACTTTGTATTTATAAGTCTGTTGTTTTCACATGCACACACATTTCCTTCAGGGTTAATAAAGCTTACGATAGGTTAAACTAGACCTTGTCTTGTCTGGTCTTTATCGTGTGGAGATGCTTAAAGTGAGTATTGGTATTAAACTGCATCGTCTGTGTTTTCCAGCCGGAGAGTGTCGGGACAGCACGAGGTACTGTGAGAAGGTCCGGCAGCTGGAGCTCTGCACTCTGCCTCAGTTCAAGAGCCGCTGCTGCCATTCCTGCAAAAACACCTGAGGAGGGCGAGGGGGGGGTTAAGACGAGGGCCAGGGACGACCTGGAGAAGTCGGGGACGGCCAACAGAGACTTAAGACCTGGACGCCCCATCCTCACACCCACAGCTGTGTCCAGTGGTCAGTGTGGTCTGGATGTGAAAACCTGAGGAACAATTGGATGGTGGTGATCCACTTCCCTCAAAGAAATCATGTGTGGGTTTGAATTTTCAAAGATGTGGGAGGAGTGACCTTTAATGAACTTTTACCTCGCTCATGAAGCTTTCCTGAATTAAGCAAACGTAACGTATGATACATTTCCATTGTGAGTGATTGAAACTGCTGGTGACTGCGTGGTATCATAAAGGGGAACTCATAAATCACATTCAAAACAAGGTGTATTGACAAGTAGGTTATTCATATACAACCTGGGATTTTCCAAGTAACAAACAAAAGTATATAAACAATACTGGTAGTTTCAGGGTATTCCTCAAATAAAATAAAAATATTTGTGCAATTAGGCCTATAAACACAAATGTGTAATTCATTTACTTTTTGTTCAACTATTGACTTCCCACCCAGGGATTCTGGGTAGTCCCCTGAGCTTCTGATAACCACTGGATAGTTGTGTGTTTTGCCTTTATTGCAAGGGTGTCCAGAACAGTGTTGATGAAAAGGTTTGATGCTAAATACATTTGTAATAAAGAGTTGTGGGTAAACTCTAAACACAGCCTAATCCTCTGAAGAGAAATGCCCGTCATATCTGATGATGGTACAAATGGTATCATCCACATGGGAAAAGATTAGGTAAACTAGCACACGTTGTTATCCATCGGTCGGGTCATTCGGAGCGCAAAGGAAGTATGATTGCAGAAGTTGTAGCTGCATGTTTTGCAGAATAAAAAGTACATTTTTATCTTGCATGGGTTGCACTATGGAGGTGTACGACTGAAGCAAGTCGAATTTTTTGAGAAATACACATTTATATTGCACTCAACTCATCCAAGTCTTTGTTCAGAACATTGCTTGCGGGGTTCTTTTTAGTTTGTAAAGTTACATTGTTTATATATTTTGTGATTTTGTTTTGTATTTCGCGTTAAGATATTTGTTTAAATGTCCCTTTAACCACTTTGTGAACAGGGTGTGAGCGTAACTGTTCCTCCTCTCCAACTAAATCACATTTTTTTTAGTTTGACATTTAAGGAAAACGGTTTCAATTGAAAGACCTTATGTCATTTCTTTGACAGATTTCAGTGTTGATTGAGCTTAAACATAATATGAAATCTGCGTTATATTTCAATATCGGTTAAAACATTAGGGAGCTTTTTAAAGATCATTACTTGTGCCAGATCGGCAGGGTTTGCACTTTCTGACTTTTTCCCCCCGAGTTCCTTGATGCTTCATCATCAGATACCTTCGCAGGTGTGGTTATTTGATTTTGTCAAAGTAAAAACATGAAAAACATATGACCTATGCTCTTAAGTTATGTAGATATTTGGTATGTCCTTTTAACTATTTATTTTCATGTGTGTTCTTGTGCATAGTTTTGTAAATAATTGCAGGGGTGGGTTTTAAGTAGTCATTTTCCAACAGTTTTTGGGGTATTTCATGTGCATGCAATAGGGACCCTCTGCTGGTGAACTGATGTGTTGCTTTCTGCTCATGCCTGGTTTATCATTTAATAAAGCCAAATACATTCCTTTTATAAACTGTTTGTTGTGGATTTTTTTGAAAACAAAACTGACTGCATTATTTAGTCCCGTCATAAAGCTGTGATTGTTTTTATATGGTTCTTTAGCACACCGGCTGGAATTTCAGATGTAAATTACTCACATCACTCAGCAGAACTTACATTATTGCAGTGGGAGTTTCTACAGTTACCAGAAAAACAAGTTGTTACAGCCTCAAGCGTTAACATGTCATAACCCTGCGTTCATGTACTCGACACACTGGAGTGTACTTCCTTATTATTTTTCTCATTTACAACAAACAGTTCACTTTCCACTTCTCCGCTCTGGAAGAAGGACATGCTTTTGCAGGATTCCTCTGAACTAAGAGGGGAAATTGCTTTACAAAATGAGAGAAATGCTACAATTCACAAGGCTCCATCAGCACATCATAACTTTACTTTTCTGATTCGTGCTGAGGATTTTTTTTCAGGTTCGTTATGGTGGAAAGGGATGGTTGTAATTCTAGTTTGAAAGCACTCAGGGTTCTGCGAGTTTCCCTGGTGGATGAGCTGGAAGGACGAATTGACTCTCTGCTGGATATCTTAGTAAGTCGGGAAGTGTTCACTCGTGACGACCGTGAGGAGGTGTTGTGTCATTTGGGACCCCGGGCAAGAGTAAGAGAGGTGTTGGATATCCTGCAATGTAAAGGCAATGAAGCAGCTGATATTTTTCTTTCAATTAGTAGTCATCATCAGCAAGAAGCACAGATACACCGCAAAGAAGGAAATGCAGATCCGCCTCAATCCGTGGGTATGCAATTCAATTCAAAGTTGGTATATTTAAGATGAAGAAAATGCTGCAAATTGAACATGTCGAAAAGCATTGCATTGTTATGTAAGAGTACTTTTTTTATCACATTATCTTCTCTTTGCAGAATATAAGAAAGTCCAACAAAAGCATAAAGATGTCATCAAGCGGCGGAGTGAGAGCATGCTCTTCTACAACACTCGACACGGGGAGAAAATTCTTTTTTCCGAACACTACGTCAATCTCTTGTTGGCAGACGGACACCAGGGCTTGGATATGAAAAGACATGAGGTGCTGACGTTTGGTCAAAAGCGACTCTCTTTGCAGCAGAAGTCAGCGGTGCAGAGAAAAATCACACCGGCCGAACTCTTTCTAAGCACAAATGGAAAACATCCAGTCAAGAAAGTGTTGGTGTCGGGGGTGGCGGGCATCGGAAAAACCATCCTGGTGCAGAAGATGCTTTTTGATTTTGGAGGAAACAGGGACCATCTTGGATTTGACTTCATCATCCACATGACCTTCAGAGACCTCAATTTGATCGACAAACCTACGAACTTCCGGGAGCTGGTGCTGCGTAAAAACAGGCACCTGGCTAAGGAACTGGATAACATTTTAGAGAACGACCACAAACTGCTGATCATCTTAGACGGCTTTGATGAGTTCAGACACTACAGGAGTTGTGATGTAGACACATTCGTGACTGAGCCTGATGAGGATGCAGAGGTGGTGGAGGTCTTAGGGAGTCTGATGCAAGGCGAACTGCTCCCCAACGCTTCTATCATGCTCACAAGTCGACCAGCAGCCATCAACCACATCCCGGTGGGCTGCATCGACCGCTTTGTGCTCATCTCTGGTTTCTCCCTGACTGAAGTTCAAGAATTCTTCTTACGGTATTTCCAGGACAGTGCCACTGCTGACCGCATGTTCGCAGTGGTATCGGCCAATGAGCTAATGCTAACACTATGCTACATACCTGCATTTTGCTACATTGTGTGCTGCATCCTTCAAGAAAGCAAGGACCTCAGTGGAGAAAGCCCCAAGACCATGACGGACATTTATGTGCAGTATCTGGTGGCCTTGCTTCGCTCTCATACTCAAGCAAGAGCCCAAACGTTTTGTCAAGTGCAAAAGGAAGCGCTTTCTAAAGTCGTACTGAAGCTGGGTCGACTCGCCTTCCTAAAGCTGATGGAGCATCAAACACTATTCTACAGCAGCGACAAAGACGTGGCAGAGCTAGAGGGATGCATCCTTGTAAGCACCTTCCTGGACAAGACGGTGGCACAAGAGCCCGGCTGCACTGAGGAGGTTTACTCCTTTGCACACCTCACTGTTCAAGAGTTCTTCGCTGCAGTTTATTGCGCGGTGACGGATCACCCGTTACCTGAAGCTCTTCAGCAAACTACTAGTCCTGGGGAGGGGTCCAGCGGCGGACATTTGGACCTCTTCCATCGCTTCCTGTCTGGAATCCTCGCTGAACGCAACGCTAACCTTCTATCAAGGCAGGTGGGGCTGAGTTGCAATAAAGAGAAAGTGGACAGCTATCGTCAGAGGATCATCAAAGAGCTCACAATGCTCTGTGAGAGTGGAGCTCCTATCCTCAACCATTTACACTGCCTGTTTGAGCAACAGGACCCCTCTCTGGCCCTCTCCGTGGAACCTAAAACACTACAGGTTAATGTTAGCGATGAAACACTCTCCCAAATGGATTACAATGCCATCAAGTACTTCCTAAACCTCACCAAGGGGGAAATATTAGAGCTGGATCTGACAGGAACAGGAGTAAGCTGCGAGGCCCTTAGAGATATTCAGCCGCTGCTGCTCAGATGTAACAGACTTTGGTGAGTTCAAGGTAAATCTGGTTTGCATTTATCAAATTGAGGTTTCTTTCTTTGTTTTCAATATCTGCAGGCTTGTGTTCCTAACACTTATCACATAGCATGCAGCAAAAAGTGTCAACAACACCAGCTTGAAAAATATATAATGTGGCTTTTGCACTGATGCACTATTTCATTATTACAGGCTTGGAGAAAATATCCTCGGTATGGACGCAGCTCGGGTCATTGCTGATGTGCTGCAAGTGTCAGAACATTTACAGCAACTAGGGTAAGATGTCAACTGATTACACAAGCTTTTTTAGGAAAACATTTAAACCAGCTATAAGAGGATATAAAGGGCACAATGAGACAATTTGAGAACGAGACTGTGTTTCACACTTCCCATTTTAGAATCGGATGGACAGACATCGGCGATGATGAACTACTGGCTCTTTCTGGTGCCATACGGGCGAATAAAAAGCTTGAAGAGTTGTGGTAAGGACATCATGGGAGGGATATGCCACATTATATATTTTAGGGAAATGAAAGTCTTGCCAAGATCATGAATGTCTGAATCATGGTTCCTGTAATGGCTAGAGATGGAATTATGTGGAGAATAGAGTGTAATTATATTTCACAACTGGTGCAAAGGCAACCTAAATCAGCTTTCCAGTAAACCCACAGTTTTTTAATTCTACCTGCTTTATTGAAATGCCATTAAAATGCTGGGTTCACACAGAAAACAGAAAGGAAATCAATAGACAAGAACATAAAAAGTATGAAAGAATATAATAAAATGTGATCAAAACATAACAAATAAAGAGTTTATTACATAAACATCGGCCTAGTCTCTTTTCTAAAGTGTGAACAAATTGTATCACAAGCTTGGCCCTTTATTCTCCCAACTGTATTCCATACCAGCCTTTGGGTGCATGTTTTTAATGGCCTTTTAAATTCAGCTGCAATTTAGCTTTCAATTTGGTTAAGTGCACTTCAGCTCACTTTAGTAGCACTTTAAAAGCCATACAACTTAGCGTATATTCTTTTGAATCGCAGGCTGGAGGGAAACCGAGTGAGCTACAGAGGTCTGCTGTCCCTCAGTGACTTGACCCCGTACCCTCTGAAAAAAATTGTGTGAGTGTGACTTTTTTAATAATAAAAATTATAATCTATATTTAGACACGTTATTTTCTAAAGTCTCTTCCTTTTCATACAGAGCCATCTGGAATGACCTAGCTGACACAGATCCAGACTCCTTTTGCACACAAGAAAGCATAACTGTGAGCTTCACAGACGATGGTATTTGGGAAGGATGGGGGAAATGGGTCTTCAAAAGGTGTGAGGTTAGCAGCAATGATAAGTTAGTAACAGTTCTCCACAAAGTGTGCAACATATCCGTCCATTGCTTGGAAGGCCAGTGGGCGAGTAATTTTTACAAGCAACTGTTACAGCTCATCAAGCAAAGGATTGAGATCTGCACCGAGGACGACATGCTCAGGAAGCTGGAGAAGTTTGAGACCATTTTGAGCTTCTAATAAAGATGAGGACCATAGTTGAGTCATAAGCTAGACAACACAAGTCAAATGTCCCTTTGGTGCTGACTTATTTCTGTGACACGTGCAAAAATGTTTCCTGGCCAGTACGGGTATCGAACCCGCGACCTTCGCGTTATTAGCACGACGCTCTAACCAACTGAGCTAACCGGCCACGTGGTACCATATGTTAAATTAATTTTATATTCCGAATCTTGACTTCTTTTGGGGTCTTAGTTTCTTGTTTTTGATAATGTTACACTATTTTAAACTATACTTCCTTTACCTATACACAACATTTTTTTATGGAGACACTTAATTTAAACTTAGTATTGATATTTTTCATATTTATTGCGATCTTAATGGTCAATGAATCTTGGTCTTTGTGTGTATTACGTTGATATGTCTGTCGTGTATATGTGTATTTAAAAACAATGTTTACAGAAAAGTTCGATTTATCGTAACTTATGCACGTTTGTTAATAAAATGTTAAAACCTCAGTTATTTTGCATTTTATTTTGAAAGCTAAGTAGCGGAAGTGCTTTCCCTGATTCAGATATGACGAAATTATTCTGCGACAACGAAGTAAAGACGATCTTATAAAGTTAGCCAGCAAGCTAACTCGCTTTCTGTTATTTATAGGTCAGCAAGCTAAGCTGTTTCCACATCTTAAACTGGGTGAGTTATTTAAATCATCACGCAAGTCTAATGCTTAGTGAAGGATTGAATTGTTTTGAAATGCAGTGGCTATGACTGCAGCTTTTTTTTAAAAGCTTACCCGCGAATACTCATAACAACTTACAGCTGTTTGCTAAAGCCTGGTAGCTATAGCTAACGCACTACGTAACTTGGCTTTACGTAGAAGCTAATGTAGAGTTGCTA